AATGGATGGACAAAATCACAGGGGGGAGATTGTCGGACATTCGGGAAGGACCAAGCTGGGCCATGAGAGCTGCCTCCAGCTGCCGATGGAAACGTCCCACAAAGCCGGCGGCCGAGGGGTGGTATTCCATCTCTCGAACCCGGTCAGTGTTAAGGGGGAAGTCAAGTGGCGAAAAAATGCGGACTCGAACTGGGATCCATGGTCAGTTTTCTCGGTCGCAGGAACGCCGATGTTGGATAACCAGTGCGTCAAAATTGTCTCCATTAAGTTCGGCATCGATGTCAGAAATGGGCGCAGCAACCGGCCAGCGAGTAAAACGGTCCATACAAGTCAGCGAATAGGTAGAACCATTAGAACGTTTTATCAAGGCCTACAGGCCAATATTGACATAGCGTCCGGACACCTTAAGAAAGGATCTTCACGATTTTACGCAATGGTGCTGCGCATGAATGCCTTAACATTGCTCACATAAATGTTTGTAAATGGTAGTTTGTGACAGTCAGCGGCCTACACAGAGCATTGACAGTTACCTAGTACATATGCCAGTTGTTAAAATGACCATCCTATCGAAACCTAAGTGTTTTTACATATCGAAACATCGCACAACGAATATCATGAAAGGGCATAAGAAGATAGGAGATATCTTCCAGAAATTTAAATGAGTGACAATTTGACTCTGTTTTATAAAATACGCATTAAGACATGGGCTTGCACAATTAGTTTTATATAATGTCTATTGACACTTTTTATTTGCCCTTTTACGCGCTGGTGAGCGAAAGAAAATTGGATACATTCAACAACTAGTTAATAAACCATTTTCACCGGATAATCGAAGCAGGTTTTGAAGTATGCGTTGCAGTTCAATCGCAAAAAAATGATTTAAATGTTCTATCTTATGGGTGCTCATGCTCTTTTATCACATATTTTGACATCGCAAATTACCTCGATTTATTCTGCATGTCTTTTCGTACACGTAACACTGCTGTTAAATTCTCAAACGTTTTACTTGGATGAAATTCATTTTAAAAGCTTGCGAAATTATAACAATATACTGTGTTCTGCATGTTTGAACTGATTTGAAATTCACTGCCTTGGCTGACGGTACGACTTTTTACTGAAGTGACAAATGAGTTATATTTTGGCGTCAAGGTCAGTTTACAATTTTTCAAAGTGCTTTGCCGGTTAAGGTGATTAAATATGCCAATCAGACGAAAAATTAAAAACGTCGTAGCAAATTATTCAGCAGCGGAACTCCTTGTTCGGGAGGCTACCTCCAATGATCCTTCACTTCCTGATGAATACACACTACTCAAGATTGCGGATGCTACAAAAATTTCTTATTACTATGAGGAAACCACACGGATGATTTTTAAACGTCTGAACGATAAATCTAAAAACTGGAGGCATATTTACAAAGCCTTGTTAGTTATTGAAGTGTGCCTCAAAAATGGCAGTGTAGCCGTGAGTTTTTTATTTTTTATTTGTCAATTGAACTCACAGCGAATTAATTCATATGAATTATGATATCAATTGATGATCATTACACAAGCGTAAAAGTTTCACGTATAATTTGCTCAAACTCCAAATTTTTACAGTCTTAACCAGTAATAATGACCAAATTCGTATTTAATTCCAATGCTATTTGGAGAATTTTGAATCTGCCAGCCCATTTTTTTTGGCGTAAATATCCTGGCCAGCCCAATCCTTGGACTGGACAGGGATGGCGCCCGGGGTTATCCGGGGGTGGAGAGTTCTTGATTAACGAATTATATTTACAGAGCCCATTTTCAAGGTCAACTTTTTATCAATAAATAATGAATGACATTATCCGCTAACAAAACAATTAATTTGTGTCTAAAATGTGAAAAGAGTGGAAGCGGGGGACGAGACGGCTTGAAATCCCCGTCCTGAGCCCCGTCCAAATTACCGGTCCATCCGCGGAAACATCGCCAGTTTGGACGGGGCTCAGGACAGGGATTTCAATCCGTCCCCCCGCCGCCTGAAAAATGTTTTCGCTGCGGGACGCCACCCTTGTTCTCATTTTTTAGACCCCAAGTGGATTGTTTTGTTAGAACATAGTATGATTAATAATTTATTGATAAAAAAAGATCGGTTTCGAAACAGGAGCTCCGTAGATATAATTCGTTAATCAAAATTTTTCATCCCCGAATTTCCCCGGATTACCTCGTCTAGAGCACGGGCTAATCCGGGGATTGTGATGGTAGGGATAATTCGACAAGTAAATTTATCCTGAGTAATTAAAATTCTGCAGTAAGTAAACTTAATATCCCTTCCATTACCAGCTTCTCATATCCTCTCTTCTGTTGCGAAAGTACCGAATCTATTTTTCGAAGAGGATAAATGATACAGATTCAACTAGTCTAGACAAAATGTGCTCGAACTTTGCGATATTTATATCTTGTATATATGCGGAAATACTCCATGCTACGACAACTGCACTCGTGTACTGATATTTCTGGGAACACTATCTTGATAGTCGGAATGTCACTTTAGACAGTGTAATCAAGATTGTTTTCATTCCATAGCGGCAGTTATATTTTTCATAATTTTATCAAACACAATTAGGTTTTGATTCCCCCAATTATTTGAATTAAAAAATTTGTATCTGAAATCAGTTAATTATTTCATAATATTTTGTAGTTTGTAAAGGAATGTCAGCATCAGGCCCATCAGATAACCACATTGACTGACTTCATGTTTCTTGGAGAAGATGGTACAGAGGCTAGTCGCCTGGTGCGTGAACAGGCAAAGCGCGTGTCAAGGCTTTTGGCAGACAATGAGCTACTCCACGAAGAGCGTAAAGTTGCGCGAAGTCAGCGTAACCAAAGTAAGCTTAATTATATATAAAAAAACCGTCACAATACCGAAAAAATGATCTTGTCTTTGCCTACCACTCTAAAACCCATTAACCTAATTATTTACAGTACGCCAAGACTACGCCTATTCTCGGCCACGAAGTTTGAGTACGTGCTCATTTGACCAACAGCTTCCCGGAAAGGATAGCAACGTCCATCGATCTTTATCATATGCCAGAAACGACGCTGAGGAAGAAGAACAAATCAAAATGGCGATACGCCTTAGTGTGGCTGAACTAGATGAAAAAACCCGAAATGCTCTGAAACAACAGACGCGTTCAGAAAACCACAATACAGTACGTCGATATTATGTATCTGTCTCTCTTCCGTTCCACAAGTAATAAAATGAATATGTAAAGATACAAGTCTGGCATGTTGTGGCGCTAACTTAAGTCCTAGTTCGAGATTATTTCAGGATAAAGTTTTCAGTCAACCTTCCTTTATGCATCAGTGAATATATTTTGAGAAGTTTAAGCTCTCAACTGATGGTTCTAAGTTGAAAGTGCAAAGTTTTTCAGTGTCGTAAATATTTGAACTCAAATTATATTCTTGAAACGTTTGGCTGGTTTCTACACATAAATGTAACCTCCCACTGAATTTTTATAATTCAAATTGAACAAATTTGCAGTCTAAAATCACGTAGTTTCGATCCTGTTGACGCTTTTGTGTTTCGGAGATGTCATAACTGTCTGCGCCGATGTTAGGTTCTCGTCCTAGCGAACGCAATTTCCTTAGTATGCAAAATTTTTTCGTGAAACTTATGAAGCTTTAACGACCAGTTTGTCTTTGAACCGAGTTTCTTTGCTGATCCGGAATACATACATCTTTAGGGGTAATGTTTCATAAAGTTTTATTAAACTTAATTTATGCTACTACGCATGTGTCCTACACAATCAAATTCCATGTAATCACATAGCCGCCTAGTCAACTTGCGCCCAGTTCCTAAGAAAATCACTTAGGCAGTTCTGGTAAGCATACTTTTAACGTGAAGATGCAAAACCTGATAAGAATATAGGTGAATACAAAAACATACTGGATATGTAGAACCTTAATTAAAAAAACACTAATTTCGCAAGAGATTTTGCAATTCACCGGCTAAGTGGAACTTCACATGAACTTCCTATTCCAGTTTTATGTTTGTGCTTCTCGAGCCGTTGATTTATGTTATGCCGTTCTTTGCCTGAATGATGAAAGTAAAAGGAAAAGCACTCTGCAGGCAACACACAGGCGCAGAAGTCTTGACGTTAGTATTGCCCCTATAAAGATTCGATGCGCCAACTTTCTCGTTTCAGACCTCCGACGTTGACACCCTACTTGACCTAAGTGATAGCCCACCGATGACTGAGCGGGAGAGGCGTGGCTTTGACGATTGGTTGGCAAGTCGCAAATGGAAAACCAATCAACCCAGTCAAGGTGAAACTAAGGGGATGCCTCCGGTTCCAGGTATTTGTTAACTCCTCTTAATTAACCACATTTCCCTTCCTCTGTAATTAAAGATCTTAATAGATTGTTTCATCCTTTGTTCCATTGCAATTTGGCTTCTGCTACGCAACCCTAGAAAAGCCTAAAAGCATTTTGAGCATTTGCTCAAAAGTCTCCACACAAAGGTGTACCTAATTTTCTGTAAAGTAATACTCAGTTGGAAGCAAGAATCTTTTATTAATTACATTGTTGCGGAAGTTGACCTGATCTTAAGCGGAGCGCCGAAGAGCCCGGACAAAGTTAATTCAAAGGTTATAATGCTTTTCTCTTAAATTGGTGCAACCTGGGATGTAATTTACTTTTTAGTTCATTACATGCAAGTCTTTCATCGAACTGCATAATGGGGTTTTACACTGTGGTGACACTTGCTACAGTGGGTGGGACTGCCTTTCTTTAAGCCGCGAGCGCACGAAGTATGCAGGAGACGGGCGTTTTCCCTTCTGTAAACGAGGGCTGGATGCTAATCCATTAGAAACAGAGCTACAACATGAACAGATATATGTTCACATGGCGTTACTGAACGTTTTACAGTTCCCCTTTCGGACAGCCATGGACGATTATTGACTGGATGCATAAAATCGTTGTGCTCATGGTGGGGGTACATTTATTTGAAATTTATCAAATATTAAAGCTAAAATAGAAGTCACTCCTGTTGGTGCAGTAATAGTCTTCGAGAACAATACCGTTTCAGTGTTAAAACAAAACCTGGATCCGTTATTCCTAAATCCTTTCTGGAACTGGTTCCAGAAATGAAACTGTGACCCTTGTCGGTGCAGTGCGACTTAATGTATCGACATTTTGGGGCGTGCTTTACTGGTCATCCACCAGCCTTGTTATAAAATTTTTTCCCCGTCAGCTGGACAGGACTGTTTTTTATTCAAACTGCAAGGCATTTCCTAATTAAATTTTGAATTTCCGCCTTGCAGCCCTTACGTTAAAACAACGAGCTGAACAGCAGCAACTGCAGCAGCATCTGATGCAACAACAACGAGCTGAAAAGCAGCAACAGCAGCAGCAGCAGAACGGCACAAGCACAGGGGACTTGGATTTTCTGGACTTCGGTAGGTCCCACAAGGCGTTCGGTTTAAGTATGGTATGCCACCTTCTATGTAGCGCCCAGTTTATGAGAAAGCATGCGCATGCAGCCTCAATCACTCAACAATTTAATTTCCCTTGCATTTGTTCAGTGGAGCTGTCTTTTAAACCCAATTTTCAATACGCCTAATGCAATATGTTTGATAGGACAAAGTGGAGATAGTTTAGTACTGTCTACCTGGCCATCATATATAGATGAGCGCTCTACTAGGCTGCACTTTTTTCTTTCAAGTCCCAGCTGGGCTATGATTGGCTGAACTAAGACAGAATAAACCCGAAACAGACTGTATCAATCTGCCCGAAATCTCCGTCTTCCGTCCTCTCTGCATGTATGTCCCGTTCATCATCCTACAAGGGAGTCGAAGACGAAAACAAGGGGCTGTCATGGACCTCATTGTAATTATGCTGATGGCAAGCAGGCACACACATCTCACCACTCTGATGGTGCAAAATAGAATGTTTCCGAAACGTCAGCACAATTACAGTGTGGTACATGACAGCGTCTTGGTACCTTCTTCATCTCCTTTGGGGATGATGAATGGAAAAATTCATCTGGATTTCGTATCTCCACACATGTTA